CGTCTTAGAGATTATGATCAGGACAATAAACTCGTCTGCAATGGTGCAGGGCATCAGTGTGGAAGGATCTACGAACACAACAAACCATTTGTCACAGAGCCAACAATATTATTATACAATGCAAGGTTTATTAAAAGGGGAAAAAAAGCTACAGCAGAGGGCAAAATGTAGAAAAGAGAAAGAATATAAAGAATATACAGAAAATAATTTCTTAATTAAGATAAAATAATTTGTTTTTAGGTTTGCTTATTCATTTATTGCTCATACAGTGTCATTTACTTTTGGATGTCAACACCTTCTTAAAATAAATCATACAAATTAAAACTGTAAATTTGAGAAATTAAAGAAATAAGAAAATTGGAGATTCCCCGGATTATTTTGTTGCTGCTGAAATCACAGAACATTTTTTTTTTTATCAATATTTGTTTACCATTGAGCAGCTAGTTTCAGCCAATGTTCAAGCTCCATGTAAGTGACGTCACCGATCAACAGTACGTTTATGTTAACGTTAAATAAATTAGCTCATTTCCAAGTAAAACCTTTATGAAAACTCTCATTTGCACATAAGAGTTGCAAATAAGCCCAAAATTAAAAAACAAAACAAAAACAAAAGCTCAACCGAGTTAACGTTAGATACCTAACTTACCTAGCTGCTATTCTGAAAATGGTTGAGATGCTAACGGACTTCTTCCGAAGACACTAAAGCATGTCTTTAAAGAAAATATTCACCAAAAGCGTGTGAATTACAAGTAAGAGAGGTGTCAAAAACAGTTGTGTGTATTATTTGTGGCATTTTAGAGACTAATGCTGCGTTCCAGGCAGGTTTTTAAGCACGTACATCACAACTTCAAACCATGACTCACGACTTTGTAGCGTTCCAGGCCAGTCACGCCAAACTACCTGAGTGCAATATACATACTTATTTTTTCAGACACATAACATTGTAATCGTGTGTGAATTATTATCATTATTATTATATTATTAATTTGACTGCAACGTTATATTGTCCTAAAGTGTATTCTCACCATGTACAGCCTGCAGATACACTGCATCCGTAGGGGCTGCCATTGTTGTTTTGTATGGTTTTGCGGGCTATGCGACGTCAGAACTCGTAACTGGGAGTACATCGATCTTGTACGAGTTCACGGGTGGGAAGTCACGGGTGGAAAAACATGAGTTACAGTTTGCCTGGAACACGGCATAACCTTACATGAAAGCAACAGTGAAAACAGTGTTTGAAAGCGACTCAAAAGTTCACGAGCACGGCCATTGATTAAACCACGTCAAATCATGCAGCATTTACAAATATAAATATCTATAATTAGAACAGTACTAAAAGAAAAATCTCATAAATACTCAAATATTAATTTTAATTTCAAACTAAGTTTGGAGATCTATGACTCTTTCATATGTGCAATGGCATATGCCCACACATAACAAACTGCAGTCACAATTAATAATATAAAATACATACAAAAACTTTTTTGACCACATTAGTTATTTTTGCTAAAGCCTAGCCTACTTCTGGTAAGTGTTAATGCTTTTCCCTGCGGGCTTAAGTAAAAATATGTCTGTGAAAAAAAGTAGGCCTAGTATGGTTTAATTCAATTCAGTTATTTTGAGATAACTACATTTTCATGTCAATATGTGTTCATTTTGACCAGGAACCATGCGCTATCACTTTAAAGGGTAACTAAACACCAAAACAACTTTTTTTAGTTAATGATCTGTAAGAATGGAGCTTCATAAATGCTGTTCATTGATTCGAGTACATTTTTTGACAATTGAGTATAAAGTGTTTTGATTTTCAAATATATGGTGTAAAAACGTCTGAGTGCTGCCCTCTTCAGGTTAAACGGAAAGCTCCTGCAGTAGGGGTACTTTCTGACGTAGGGAACTCTCAGACGCCACTCTGTCACGCCCTTGGTGCGAGCTCACCACGCCCTTGGCAGCCCCTGGTATAAAAGCATTTGGTTCCGTCAAAACTACTGTAGCGAGTCAGGAGTTGGATTTATGAGTATTGAAAACGATCAGGATAGCATATATTAGCATCTAGTTAGCATAGCATTTATATAGTTATTTAGATTATTTTGTGTAGCTAGTAGCATAGTACAGTTAGGATAGCTTCAAGTTAGCATAGATTTATCAGTGTTTAGTACATTGATCAGGATAGTAACGGAATAGAGGTGGACATGAGCTTCTCCACACAGCTCCACACGCAGTGCCAGACACTGCTCGTCCTGCATGGACTCCTCCACCGCAGCGGCGTCTCTTGATGTGAGTGATCATGGATATTTTAATTACAATTTATGGTTAGCATAAAATTAATCCTCTTTTCCGAGGGAAAAATAAATGGTTTAAATTGTTACTATGGTTTACACACACACACAAAAAACATTAATCAGCACAACTGTTTAACCCCTAGTTGCTCCAGAGGCATGTGACCTCTGACATATATAGCAATTGTAAGTTGCTTTGGATAAAAGGCGTCAGCTAAATGAATTTTTTCACATAGCGGCAGAATATCAATATGAATATATGCCCACAGAGCGTGCGCTATTGAGATCAACTCGACGACAAAACTCATCAGATGCCGGTCGCGATGCGGGAGTTAAGACCGCAGTTTGAGCCAGCGGCTCGAATGGATTTGGTCCTGTGTCTACATACAATTCACCCTCATCCACTTCAGGTGACGGTGAAGGTGAGGGAGAAAAGTCCTCGACTTAAAATGGCCGCTCTATTGCAAAGGCAGCTACTTGCGTCACTCCAGTCTCTCTCTATTTTAGAGTCTGACAGCAGCTGTCACTCACGGAGGGTCTCAGGTGCACGCCCCCTGGCCCCGCTGGGGTCTGCCCATTTTTTCAGCATTTTTCAAATATTGCTAGTGGGTGGAGTCAGTCTCTGACCAGGGGTTTAGTTACCCTTTAATTCGCGCTGTCACTTCAAAACATTCTTTTGGCAGCACTGGATTCACTAGGACTAACGCTTTCTCTGCGCTAAAACTGCACTAAAATTAAACTGAGAGGGGTTATAGTAGCCTACTTGTTGTCCTACTGTTAGTTTAACTGCTTCTATTGCTCTCATTTGTAAGTCGCTTTGGATAAAAGCGTCTGCTAAATGAATGAAAATGTAATTCAGTGCGTGCAACGATAAATAGTGCTGAGCATGTCTGAGAGACTGAGAGTTTTAAATTGTGCAGCCTACAGCTCTACTACGTCTAAAAAGACCAGCCATTTCTCATTTTTATATCAAATCCTTTATCAAAATGTTTAATTCTAAAATACATTTTTGTTGTTTGAATGCAAAGAGCGGACCCGCGCAAACGTCGGCCTGCTATATGGTGGGCCGACCCAAAGCCACTGTAACGGAGCTGGGAAATAGAGCACTGACTGACAGGAGATCTACCTATGCCTGGCCGATGCCTCTGCGACGTTATAGGAAGGGAGGCCGACGCTCAATGTTTGGCCGATGTCGGCCAGACGTGTGCTATCTGGGTGTAGTAGACTAAACAGCAATTTAAATCTATTGAGTATTCCTGCCCTGAGAGCAGCGGGTAGTACACTAAAATAACAGCGATTTGAACTTCTGCTCTGAGAGCAGCGTGTAGTACACTAAAATAACAGCGATTTGTACTCCTGCCCTGGGAGAAGCTGGTAATGCACTAAAATAACTGTGATTTGTACTCCTGCCCTGAGAGCAGCACGTAGTACACTAACCAGCGATTTGAATCTATCGAGTGAATCTGAGTGTAAGTTAATGTTTGCTTACATCCTGTCTAGGTGGGGGCTGAGGCCCGGGGAATGGAGACTCAACCATAGACAGTATAAGAAGTGGACAGAGCCATCTTATTGGAACTCCATTGAGACAAGTGAAGCCCGTTTTTGGCAATTTTTTAGCACTTCCGTTCCTGACGCGCAGACTCAAACCGACTCAAACAGAGCTTTGCGACGTAGATGTGACGTGAGCAAACTGTCTGTCTTCTAGTGGCTGTGGCATGAGAAATCTGAATCATTCCCTTTCCGAAACTTGCAGAGGCGGAGAGTGTGAGTAGGAGCTTTCCATGAGCTAGGAGGAGGAGAAACTTTTGCTAGGTATTCTGATTAATTATTTCGTCATTTTGTCTCCTCGTTTCCCCGATTGCCCGCGAGCTTCTCCTCCTCGCCATACGGTAATCCCTCTACTGTGCGACAGAGAGTCACTTGTTATGACACAATCGTTAGTTTTACAAAAAACTGCTCCTACGGGGCCATAACATAAGCTACAAGGTAATGGGGCATTTTATACATTGTCGTGTTTCTTTAGAAATAAATAATGGACAAATGGGGTCTTCAAACGCCTCAGATGTAAAGTTATTCGCTGTCAAAGTGATGAATGGGAGTCAATGGAAATGCTAACGCAAGTGAAGTTCTGCTACAAGATGGCAGCTCCCGTGAGGCTTCAACTTCCGGGCGATGGATTACCCCCTTGGACTCAACAAGTCATCAAGTGTTCTTGATTTGGAAGAGGTATGATGGAAGTAGACCTGTTCACTCAGCTTCTGGGAGTTCTAGAAAGGGTTCGCCATGACAGAGTTTTGGCCGGCCCAAGTCTGACGTGAAGTAAAACATTTATACGTTTTGTTGTTGTTGTTTCTTTGACAACACATGGTTTATGGAAAACACTCAAAGCGGTCTTGTGACCGACTTTTGCCTGAGACATACCGGTTGATAAAAAAAACCCTGCTGTATAGTGAAGCACAGAGCTCTTAGGAGTAAGAATGGGTAGGCGTGAAATATTAAGCAATGTTAAATGACAGAGAATTATTTTTTAATTATTTTTACATCTTAACTACAGAAACATGCTAAAATATAGCAGTATTAATGAACTACACAAGTTGTAAATGTACTGCACACCATCTATTTGACCAACAAGTCTAAGTATAAAACTATACCAAAGCATATTTATTGTGATTTTAAAATTAATATATTTAATGATTTTTTTGGTTTTTGTTTTTTTGCAACCATGGTACAATATACATAACATATTTGCACATGTAGCACAAACATGTAAAAATAGTATCTCAAAGTGATTTTGATGGCACTTTACCCATTAAATATTTTTTTGTATTCTGCTCTGGCCTAAAGACAATAATGAAACACTTAGGCGCAAAAATACAGAAAATCAAACCAAAGCTTGAAGCTAAAATGGCAAATATCTCCACAGCTACAGTAAATTTCCCTGGAGAACTGACATAAGCTGGAATAAAGGTGATCCAAACAGCACAGAATATGATCATACTGAATGTGATGAATTTAGCCTCATTGAAGTTATCAGGGAGCTTTCGGGCCAGAAAAGCTAAAATAAAGCAAAGGAAAGCTAGAAGGCCAATATAACCCAGTACAGCCCAGAAACCAACAGCTGATCCTAAACTGCATTCTAGAATTATTTTTTCTTTGTAGTGTTGCATATTATTGTAAGGATATGGAGGAGATATTGTTAACCAAACCACACATATCAGTACCTGTACAAGAGTGAAACCAAAAACACTGAGTCTCTGTTGTGCAGGCCCAAACCATTTCATAACATTACTTCCTGGAAGTGTAGCCCTGAAAGCCATTAACACCACTATTGTTTTTCCGAGAACACAGGAGATACAGAGAACAAATATGATCCCGAATGCTGTGTGACGCAACATACAGGACCACTCAGTGGGCCGACCAATGAAAGTAAGTGAACAGAGGAAACACAGTGTCAATGAGAAGAGCAGCAGGAAGCTCAGCTCTGAGTTGTTGGCTTTTACTATTGGAGAGGCCCTGTTTTTGTAGAAGACAAGAGTAATGCTCAAAGCCACTAAAGAGCCAACAACAGAAAAAACAGCTAGGACAACCCCAAGGATCTCATTCCAGGAGAGAAACTCCACTGGTTTAGGAAGACACTTGTCCTTCTCAATATTGGGCCAGTTCTCGGGAAGGCATTTATGACATTCTAAAGAATCTGGAAGATGAAGAAATCAGTGTTTAACAGCCATTTATAACAAACAATTTTTAGACATATATTCATGCATACAATTATATTAATTTCAAAAAGCATAATTAAAAGAAATAAATTAAGTAGTTTATTAAAATATTGTTATATTGTTATTAAAATATTTTTAACAACAGTGCTTCACTGCTTAGTGGTATTTAAAAAAAAAGGGGGTGGGGGTGGCGTGTCTACTAAACTTAAGTAGTTAATGTAAAGTAGCAAACATGCAGAAACATGCAGAAAAAAACTTCATTAGGAAATTCCATCATAAAAAATTGATAGCTGTGCCTCTCATAGCTGTATCAAGGTCAATAAGTCCTTTAAAATATCAGATGATTTAACTTTTTTTATGAAAGGCAAGATAAAAAAAAATGTAACTCAGTTCCTCAAAAATGTGAAGATGAAATAATTTGAAAAAAGTACTTTCTACGTTTAAAAATATATACACAGGGCTTGACATTAACCTTTTTGCTCACCAGCCACTGTGGCTAGTGGTTTTCTTTCTCAACTATTTACGTTCACTATGTTACATTCACATAACTGGCCAAGACTGTCATTTTGAAGTTATTTTGTGTGTATTTGACTGTTTAGGTGTGTGTATATATATATATATACATGTCCATATATGTACAGTGGTGGCCAAACTTATTAGAACGGTAAGATTTTTCAATGTTCTAAACAAGTCTATTCTGCTCACCAAAGCTTTATTTATTTGATCAAAAAAAAAAAACCCAGTAATATTGCAATCAATCAAAATGGACAGTTTGACCCCTGTGACACTCTCTCACAGCTCTTTGACAGATGTCTGGTTTTAGTGTTGGGCGATATGCTCCATTTTCATATCGTCCTATCGTCAGCCTGTGAGATCGGCGATACACGATATTATCGTGAGGGGGCGGGGCTAACTTATTTGATTATTAACTTGATTATTTAGCATACTCATTAATTTGCTTGTTTTATTAGCCTACTTCGTTTTATAAACGAGAATCTTTTTTTTCTATTTTGCTAGCAAAGGTGGAGTGTTTATTAATAGGATCAGGTTATTTCCTGGTATAGTGAGGTAAAAAAAAAAGATCCTAATACTTTTGTTTGTCAACGGGAAATTTACGGACACATTAGCCTATCCTCATGCCGTTACATGCAGCATTTTGAGTAGGGCCTATTTCTGCACGAGATGAAAACACGTTTATTTCTTGGGTCAGAAAGAGTCGGAGTTTGCGATATGTGTCCCCCTACCATTGCGCTCTCTGTCTGGATGCACTTCACATGCACACTTCAGTAAGCATGAAGTACGCGGGTTAATGTGTTTTAAATGCCGGGAGAAACCAGAGCAAGGGCCAAACGTCTAGCTGAGTCGATCGGTTTATACTTATACTTATGACTTGACTCTGATAAAGGAAAACGGATTAATGCGTTTACATGACCACATGCATTGTCAAGTTAATTCAACATAATCGGGTTAAGAACGTCTTCGCATGTAAACGCGCTCAATCTCTGAAAGTGAAAGTAAAAACGGACTGCTTTCGCCATCTGCATTAACGCCGCGTTCCCTCAGAGACGACGATGATAACGGTAACTAATACTGTTTTAGTGATATTATTATTAATACTATTTAGTAATTGTATTGTTTTAGTGTCATTAAACGTTTTGTTAATGTGTTACGGAAACAAATACTGACGAACAACGGTGCCGTTTTCATCTTGGATCTGTAGGAAATTGAATTTTGCGTCTGTTAAAACGAGCACACTTGATAATTTGTAAATGGATCAACATGCAATTCAATTTTGATGTGGGATGTTTTTTAGTCTGTTCTAAAAACATTCTCTTAGAGGAGTCCTTAGTGCGTGTCGGTATTGTTGCAATTGTTATGAGGATTGCAATTGTTATGAGGATGATTGTAAATTTAGGCAAGGCAAATTAATTGTAGTTCCTATTAATTTAATAACAATACTAGCTTTATAATAATGATAATAGGCATAATAATAATAATTTAATACATTATGGTAAAACGAGCCAATTATCGTATTGATATCGTCAAGGGCATCTGCCATCGGCGATATCTCAGACTATCGTCGATACACGATACTATCGTCTATCGGCACAACCCTATCTGGTTTTATCATTTATGTAGCCGTGAGAGAGTGTCACAGGGGTCAAACTGTCCATTTTGATTGATCGCTTCCTGGGGTCACTAAGGGCCAACCTGTCCATTTTTGATCGATCGCTTTCTGGATAACCACCATGTACCAACTCGTGTTTTTTGGATTAGAAAGGTCAACGGGTCAAATACCAGAATGTTCAATTGAATGATTGGTTCCTGGGGTCACTAAGGGCCAACCTGTCCATTTTTGATTGATCGCTTCCTGGGGTCACTAAGGGCCAACCTGTCCATTTTTGATTGATCGCTTCCTGGATAACCACCATGTACCAACACATGTTTTTTGGATTAGAAAAGGTCATCGGGTCAAAACCAGAATGATCCCACACATGTTCTCGATTAGAAATGGTCATAGGTTAATCGATATTCCAGAGATGGAATGCAAAAGGTCAACGGGTCAACAACCACCTGTCCATTTGATTGATCGATAGGTCAAAGGTTAATCAATATTCCAGAGATGGAATGCAAAAGGTCAAAGGTTTGACTACTTCAAAGATGGAATCCGGAAGGGCAAAGGTCAGCCCCGCCCCCTGTCAATCAAAAAGCAATAAATCATTTTGACACATGGTGTATCATTAGAACTACTACTAATAGCTTTATATTTCGTATAAATTAGTGGTTCTCAATGGGGGCAGTACCGCCCCCCCAGGGGGCGTTCAGAGAACAACGTTGGAAGCAAGATTTTTGAAAGGGGGGCGTTCAGGTGTTAATGGGGGGCGTTCATGAGTTTAAATATAACGCTATTTTTATATAATTTTTGTTCATTTACGTTTATTCATTTTAAGCATTTGACCCGTGCAAAATCAGTTTTTGTGTGTTTTTAGTAATTGTTGGTTTGGTGTGTTTGAGTGTTCATTGTTACAATTACACAGCAAAAGTTCAGTGACATTTTTATTTGTGCGTAGCTAATCCAAACAACGTCAAACTTGGCACTGCACCCGTAGCAAGACACCCGTCAAGTCTGAAATCCATCAGACTAACACACACACACACAAACAGACGTTCCTGCAATTTATAGATAGATAGTGAAAAATGCCCGTGCAATATAATGCCCGTGTGTTTTTGGCAATTGTTGGTTTGGTGTGTTTGAGTGCTCAAATGAATAAGCGCGATGATTCAGGGATCAAATCTGCTTTCTTCGTCCCTCTGTCTCTGGTCCTGCGCTGTGCTCAGTCAGTGTGCAGCGTGAGAGGGGGAGTAGCCAGCGGCTAGAGTGGCAAAAGCCAATGTGTGCTTCTTTTAGTGATATACTTAGCGATATCTTTTGCATTTCTAATCCAAAGAACTTCAAACTCGGCACTGCACTTACTCAGTGCCCATAGCAAGACACTTGTGAAGTTTGAGATCCATCGGACTAACAGTTCGAGAGATATGCGATTAACAGACAGACACACACACAAACACAGACAGACGTTCCTGCAATTTATAGATGGATATATAAACACTTTAAGTAGGCTATTTAAAAAGTGTTAGGACTATATCTCTTAAATTATGTTGTAAAACATATGCGCAGATTGTGAGATCATATTGTCTGTGCGTGTCTAGGGTGCGGGTAGAAAAAAATCTTCAGCAGCCTCAAAAAACAAAACAAAAAAACATTCTTCCACTCTAAAAAAATTTGTGTTTTTTTTTTTTTTTTTACGAATAGCCTACTTATTTATTAAAAGTTGCATTTCCTCACGAGACCGCAGTGTGTGAGTGACGTTCAGGAAGAGGTGACTGATAGGTTGCTCCACACAGAAAGCTCGGCTGTGCGAAAAAACACTGAACTGCATCACTGTTTTTGTTGAATAGATTTTTGTAGCTTTACTGGGTTCTGGAGGCAGTTTATAACTTTCGGGAAGCTTAGTTTGATCGGGAGATTATTCCAATACACTGCACTGACGTCTGGAGACCGCGCAAAGTATAACACACAGGTGCCATGGAAAACCAAGCGTTGCCATGGATTCTAAAAGTAGAGACGTAACTGATTTTTTTTTAGCGGAAGCAATGCAATTGTTTTAAAATCAATAAACTCCTTTTTAAAGCAACATTTTAAATTACTGATTTATTTGGTAGGTAGCCATGTAATAAACGGATTTAACCATGGATGGGGTCTGTAATGCTATTTTCTTTTCTGTGACGTTCCTTACATATTCATTGCTGGATTTATAGAAAAACATCAATCAATATTGCATATCCATAGTTATTATAATGGATATAATTAAAGAATACTTACACTGTCATAAATTAGATGTGTAGGCTAACACAAAAAAACATTTTACGCCTATTTTTTAATTTTACTCGAATAGCCACAAGTACAAATATATTTTCCCCTCAACAAATACAAATACAGATACCGTTGCTTTGCACACCCCTAATGTGCGGTCAAGTTTGGGTGTGTGTATGCTGTTAAAATGGCTGATATGCCGATATGAGTTTTGACGAGTTGTATTAAATACAAATTAAATTTTTGACAACTAGAATCCAACGCTAACTAGAATCACGCAGTGGAGGAATGAAAAGTTGACAAGCCATTGAAAAGTACTGACTTAAGAAACATATTTTTAAGTCATGTTCCCATTCACACTAAATTCTTTTTAAAAGGTAAAACTTTTTAAAAACATTTGTAGGCATTGTCAATCCCAATGCCTAATGCCAAAATGTTTTATTTGTTCAAGTAATTTAGCCTACTGGTCAGGCATTTTTCGTTAACTCGCAAAACAGTAAGGAGAAAATGACAATTTGATGGATAATTTAAATGTATTCTGTAATCACATTTTGGTAATATATTAATTAATTTGTTAATAAAAACAAATTAATTGCAATTGTGTATATACCATTGATAAAAACCAGCTCATCCCAAGGTATTTTAGGTATTTTGTATTTATACAATTCTAACATAATTTTTCATGAAAAATCAGGATTGTATTTATTTATTTTTCGAAATAAATAATTAGGTTAATGTAAGTATTTTCTTGCAAAACTCTCCTGAATGAGTAATAAAACCTACGTGCAAACATTCCCGCTTTAATGATCGTCCTTTATTTTTCAGTGAATTTGTTTTACAATATATGGCTATTACTGCCATGGGATTAATATTATAACTATTATGTAGTAGTGTAATGTAAACAGACACAACTAAAAGAGATTTTAATTTTACTTTGTTTAATTTGCACACTGAATATGGGTGGAGCTTTTAATTTTGAATTGTCAAAGTGCACCAGATTGATGAATTAAACATTAAAATGCACAAACATTTAATTTGATTTAACAAACATTAATAATTTGATTTAACAAACAACCCGTGAGGAACACTGCTATTGCTATTCCAATGCAATTTAGAGCGTTTTCTTTTTTTTTTTTTCAAATAATCCTGAAATAAAATTGAACTGTTTTCAACATTTATAATAATATTAAATGATTATTGAGATTATTAAAGGATTAGTTCACTTTTGAAAAAACTTTTGCTGATAATTTACTCACCCCCATGTCATCCAAGATGTCCATGACTTTCTTTCCTCAGTCGAAAAGAAATTTAGGTTTTTGATGAAAACATTCCAGGATTTTTCTCCATATAATGGACTTCAATAGGAACCGGATGGTTCAAGGTCCAAAAGATAGTGTTAATAACAGTTTCAGATGCAGCTTCAAATGTCTTTAAACGACACCAGACGATGAATAAGGGTCTTATCATGCGAAACGATCGGTTATTTCAAAACTTATTCCAAAAATGTAACTTTTCTAAGGACAAATGCTAGCCTTGCTATATTCTCTGAGGCGCGTTTGTAACGTCATGTAATACGTAATTACGTTCAAAAGCTCACGGGCGACGTAGCCGGAAGTACAGAATCAAAATCGTCCGACATCGTTGTTTTTCCTTTTAATTCCTTTTTTTGTTAACGGTGTTGGAGCTAGTTTGCACGTTCAACCTATGCGTTCAACTTGTAAACACTGACTCTGTACTTTCGGCTACGTCGCCCGTGACCTTTTGAACGTAATTACGTAATACGTGACGTTGCAAACGCGCCTCACAGAATAGAGCAAGGCTAGCATTTGTCCTTAGAAAAGTTACATTTTTGGAATAAGTTTTGAAATAACCGATCGTTTCGCATGATAAGACCCTTATTCATCGTCTGATATCGTTTGAAGACATTTGAAGCTGCATCTGAAACAGTTATTAACTGTCTTTTGGACCTTGAACCATCCGGTTCCCATTGAAGTCCATTATATGGAGAAAAATCCTGGAATGTTTTCATCAAAAACCTAAATTTCTTTTCGACTGAGGAAAGAAAGACATGGACATCTTGGATGACATGGGGGTGAGTAAATTATCAGCAAAAGTTTTTTCAAAAGTGAACTAATCCTTTAAGACTGGACTAATGATTGATTTAACAACACAGAAAAAAATTGCATTTAAAATTTTAATTGTACATTTATAAATATATTTGTCTATTGTACCTTTGTCTATTGTATATTTGTCTACTGTCATGTGCTTTCAGTGTGGAAAATTATCCCTTACAAATTGTCTAATATTACAATTATACTCTATATTGTATAAGAATATCCTGACAATGCACCTGTTTCATTGCTGATCTCTCCATCAGCACAGTTAATGCAGTCATAACAGCAGACAGGTCTTCCTTTTTGCACAGCTTTCCTAGAACCTGGAGAACAGCTCTCACTGCACACAGACACAGGCACCTGCAGAGGACACACAGGGCTAGTTTACACTGTCAGTGAAATGTGACCCAATTCCAATTTTTTGCTCACATGTGACACAGATCAGATGTGTTCTATGACAGTGTAAACAGGAACAAAACGCATGCATTCGGATATTTCCAGATCGGTTTCAGGCCTCATTCATATGTGGAAATAAATCGGATATGTGCCAATGCAACTGTCATGTAAACAGGCATTTTCTGAGGCATTAGGCGACGTCTCCGTAGTTTAATGACGAGAGAAACCCCCGACGCACTTCTGAACAGGGACGGATGGCTGACGAAACGTTGTGTCATAGGAGAGGAATGTGGACAGGGGAGATGTTTTCACAGGATTGTAAATGTGCCGAAATTGTTCATTTACATTTATTTTAAGCATTTAGTAATTTGTTTAAGTGGGCCATTTAAAACATGCTAGGACTATAAACATGCTCAATTATATTTTTAAAACATATGCGCAGATTAGAGTGTGACATCATATTGTGCGTGTATAGAAAGAATTAATCCGCAGCCACTCAAAAAAGAAAAAAAAATCCACACCCGTCCACAAATCCCGTTCTACTCCTGAGCGCAACTCCACTGTCAGTGTTGTTGTAAGTAGCCTACAGGCTCTAGGCAGTTTTTTGTGTTCATTTCTATTTGCAGGCTTTTTTTTTGTATAACCAGCCTAGTCTCATTGTTAATACGTAGTTATTTTACGTGTTTGCAAAGATAGAAAACTTACTTTTTAGTACGTTTGGATAAATGCTGAAACGTATAATATAGACGTATCTGCAACATTTAAACGTAACATCATTACGTTTTTACAGCTACGAAACGTATTTACGTAGGCCTATATCTTAAATCATAAACATATCTGTATAATTTCCCTTTTTACCATTTTATAGATAAATGTAAGATCCCGTAACCCTAATCACAAACCTAAACATACCCATTTTATAAATCATATAAAAAAGGATAAAACGTAATGGACAGATGTGTTGGGAAAGGGCAGTTTTATTAACAATATAGCATTAAGATTTTTGAGCCACCAATCCTACTCCTACCCCTAACCTACCCATAACAATAAAACTACGTAAACTACAATTATGAAGAAAAACATAACTAACAGACAAGTTACACATTGCGAAAATGTCAAAATCGATACCAAAAGCCGTTCATGATGAAGCGTTGCAGTCGCAGTCTTCTCTGGCAGTAATTGTAATAGTTTTGTATGAAGTACAGAGCAGAAATTAAATTACTAATCAAAATGTTAATCCGGCTTGGGTTCGCGCTTCTCCATTTCATATGAACTAAACCAACAGTCCTTCATGTCACAATCTGTGACGAAGCAGGGAAGAGCCAATGAACGTTTGATATCACTGCCGTAAAACATGACATATCGCTTCTCAAGGGCGCAATTTTTGAATTTGAATTCATCACCAGCGCGGGGTTTGACATGTACGGTCGCTGCTGAAAATGGAGACGAAGATCACGACTGGATAAGAGGCTGAATTAGGAGTTGTTTCTTGCAAACAACTATGGATTCAAAAGATTTGGATTACATCAAACTAATAAAATTGATGTTTTTTGTGAATTTTTGTTGTGTTTTAGAGGAGAAAAGCTTTATGTGTCTCAAAGTAAATAAATTATTACAAAATAGTAACGTTAAAGAATGTATTTTTAAGGTTTTATAGTGTATTGTTTAACACCATGCAGGCGAAACGACCAAAATGTTAATATTTATGAGTTTAATATCAATAAATGCGACTTAATTAATAAGACAAACTTAAACTTAAAAACTTAAAACTTAATTAATAAGACAGTGGAATGCAATGGAGTCAAAACATAATGCTACGATATTAATATGCAGAAATTGTGATACATACAAATGTGTACGTCGGTGGATTTGTTCATACGTAAATAAATTACGTTTTTGTGCTGTCAAAAAATGTAAATATTTTACGTTTTAGTACTGTAAAACGTCAGTGTGGTGTGGGGGGCGTGGTTCAGCGGTGTCTGCAGCGGGAGAGCGGGGGGAGGAGCCGAGCGGGAGGTAAACGGGTCAAGTTCAAATGATGAACACCTGTCTGTGATTTCAGTGATTGGCGGAGGAGAGCGCATTTAAGCGGGCCAGGTGGACGCTGCATTGAGAGAGAGCCTGGAGCTTGTGTGTCTGTGTGCCTGGAAACTGAGTTGATCCCTGATCGTGTCTGAAGAAGCTGTGAACAGCCGGAAGAGTGCCACGTCAGTGATGGGAAAGCTGTGAACAGCGGGAAAGAGTTTGATCTACAGTGACTGTTTTGAGTTTATTGTGAAGAGCGCTGAGGCACTGTGGAAAGAGTATTTTGAAAATAAAGCACACAAGCTCCAGTATTTGCCGACCCCTTGTCTTCTTCCATCACCCTCACTGAACCTGAATTTAACTTTGTCACAGTCAGTATTATACGTTTCTGCGCATATAAAATGTAATTATATATACGTATGATAGAACGACACTTTACGTACAAATACATACGTATTCTCATGAGATCACGTTACAGCAACAGTGAACAGCCCAATAAATAATAAAGGGATACTCCACTTTTTTTGGAAATAGGCTCATTTTACAACTCCCCCAGAGTTAAACATTTGAGTTTTACCGTTTTCAAATCCATTCAGCCGATTTTCTGATATTTAGAAGAATATCAGTAACCAGACAGTTTCTGGTCTCATTGACTTCCATAGTATATACTATGGAAGTCAATGAGACCAGAAACTGTCTGGTTACTGATATTCTTCTAAATATCAAAAAAAACGCCTAAAAGGATTCGAAAATGGTAAAAACTCAACTGTTTAACTCTGGGGGAGTTGTAAAATAAGCCTATTTCCAAAAAAAGTGGAGTATCCCTTTAAGGCTTAATGTCCCGTAGATTGGTCCGTTGCAGTACGAATGAAAGCAGTATCAATAATGTCAATCATGTGAAATGCAGTCAAGTTCGGGTGTATATGTGTTCTCACCGATACGCCTGTGATTCGTGGAGTTTTAACGAGTTTTATAGACAATGTTTCTTATTCAAAAGTGGTGTTTTGCAACTTCGCATATCGCAGTGCATGAAGCATATTTCGTGTTCGTCCATTTGTGCAAGATAATTTAACGCTTTAAGCATGCGCGATATGTTTCAGATAGTAGCCTATATGGCAAGTGTAAACACATGAATCGGATATGGGTCACAATTTAAAGAACGTGTAAACAGACAGTTAAAAAAATCGGATATAGGCAACAAATCAGAATTGGGCACAGTAGCAGAGTCAGAAATTAAAGGCTTTGGGCAAAAATGCTCTGAAAGTGAGTAAATGAGGCGTGTTGTGGAATGCTAAGCAAATATGAAGAGGTTTGTTTTGTTCAATTGATTTAAATCAATGTGTATGACATGAATAAAGGGTAACACTTTACAGTAAGGGTACATGAATTATCATGAATTCATGTGTAAATTAATGCATGAATTATGCAATAATATCTCATGAATCATGAGGAACTAACAAAAGTTCAACGTTTTTCATTCATGACTTCATGGATGAACAACACCTGAATTAAAACATTAACTAAGATAAGCACATCATCATGAATTACGATTTATTACACATGATCATGATATTTTCTTTGTTCACAGTTATCCCACCATTAATATCACATTGTTCATCAGTGTTTCAAAGGACCTAGTCACCACTTTAGTTAAGGGGCCACACACATGATGAAGTCATTGATAGATAATGCTTAGTTAATGATGACTTCTGTATTTGATTAACAGAATTTGTGTCTTATGAGCTGTGATTGGTCTATTTTGGGGTTCGTCCAATACAGAAGTCATCATTAATTAAGCATTATCTATTAATGACTTTATCATGTGTGTGCCCCCTCAACTAAATTGGTGACTAGGTCACTGACCTAGACAAAGAACAAAGAAAACATCATGATCATGCATAATAAATCATTATTCATGATGATGTGCTCATCTTAGTTAATGTTTTAATCAAGGTGTTGTTCATTCATGAAGTCATGCATGAAAAATATTGAACTTGTGTTGGTTCCTGATATTAGATATTAATGCATGAATGAATGCATAATTCATGCATGAATTTATACATGAATTCATGATAATTCATGTACCCTTACTGTGAAGTGTTACCGAATAAAGAATGTGTGTTAATATGGTTTAGTATATGGTAAGTAAAAAAAAATAATCCAGGGTTACTTTATAACATTAATAAATTATGAATTAATTAAAACCACAGAGAATAGAACAACGCATTTGCATACCTTTTCACTGCCATCATACCAAACAATAGTTGTGCTTAGACTGAATTCTTGTCCTTTAGGCTGGGATGCATCATATTGACCCACTGTAACAAAATCAACTGAACCATCTCCCTGAAGCTGCCAATTCACAAGTTCATAGATGGCCACGGGGTCTCCATTGGCATCGAATGAAACAGAATAATTATTTTTAGCAAAATTCACTTGCTTGAGTTGATCAAAAACCTGCATGATGAAAAAATAAAAAATTAAAAAAAGAAAATTGTTTTTACAATTCTTTGCTGAATAATCAGTACTGAAATATAGCTTGAAGATCAACAAAAAAAGTAAAGGAATAGGCTACAGTAGAATTTTAAATGCATAGGCCTATATTCCAGAAAACTTACCTGCCGGGGCTCAACTTTGATGTTTTTGTCACATTGTTTTTCGTTACAGACAATGCCATGTAGGGCATAAGCTATAGCATATGTGGCTTTGTACACCATGTTAGTGACGCGCAACTGGGACGTGTCTGTGTACGGATTCTGTAATGCACGCAGGTCCTCTGTGCCATCACATGCTGGCATACCAGTTGAAGAACCTGTCTGCCGTTTTAGACTACAGCTAAATGAGCTTTCCCAGAATTCTGTCAACAGGGGAAATTTCAGCGCCTGCTCTGGAGACAGGTCAAGTAAAAAGTTACGAAATCCCGGGATAACAGACCGCGGGATTGCAACACCCACAGCACCGATACACAAATTAAACCGCAGCATTTGTGGATCTGTAACCCACGCCTCGCTGCCAATCCACTGCATCGGAGGAGGAGGCTGCTGACTCAGCTCTTCTAAGAGAAATCTCATATCACCTGCGGCCACAAAGGCAACTATTACACGAGCCGTTGATCTGCGAATCACATCAGCGACTCTTTTCAATTTACTGCGCGGCTGGGTCCTGTAGTAGGCCTCAGAATACTCCACACAGATTCCCTCGTTCTCCGCAGCTTTCAAGAATGACGCCATGCCATTGTTCCCGTAGTCTGAATCACTGCACACAGTTCCGATCCACGTCCATCCAAAGTGTTTGACCATCCTTGCTAGTGCGGCCGCTTGATGGTGATCGCTGGGGATGGTCCTGAAGAAAGTAGGATGTTGCCGCTTGTCACTGAGACACGCGCATGTGGCGTAATGACTCACCTAAAGTGCAGAGTGAAGACAAATAACATATTTGTCATACTATTTGTCGACTCGAATAACATAAATAATTATCATAATAAGATTATGAACATGAAAGCCTAGAACATGTTGATAAGTCCACTAGTGTTATGGTCAAAACTACAATAATTTTTTTTACACTTTGACACTTTTTTTTTTTTTTTTTTTTTTTTTTTAAATAAGAAGACACGGAAATTGTATTAGCACCTGTGGAATTCCAAAAGGACCAAGAAGTCTTGAAATGCTTATTGCCGGCGTGGAAGCAGAATCTCCAACTAGTGCAAGTACTGCTGCTGATTTTGCACAGGAATCAGTGTCATTAAATAACAGATCTTGTCCGTTGGCATGCTGCAACGCTACTTTAATTGCCATTGGCACAGAAGCACAAGAGTCATATATATGATACCCTAATGTGATGCCCGGTAAGAGATTAGAGCTGTTGTTTATCTCTTGGATAGTGAACTGCAAGGCACGAGCAAAGCGCAGCTCTCTGAAGTCCATGCTGTTGAAGCACACACATAGCCTCCTGTTAAAAAAGAGCTAACCCTGTTTGCTTATTAACGTAATATATATATATATATATATATATATATATATATATATATATATGAAGAGTTCAGATGCAAAAGCCTCCTATACTGCCATTTGTATATATAAATATTATATATATTATGAAGATCAGATGCAAAAGCCTCTAAGTGCCATTTGAAATTTTCTTCTAAAATGATCATTTTTATCAAGCTTGTATATTTAAGTTCAGTAATTTCACTTAATTGTCATTTAATTGAAATTACTAAACTTGAATTACTGAACTTGGCTTTTGCATCTGAACTCTTGCTGCATTTAATTTAGAATTAAATTCTAACCTGCCACTGCACTCCAGTGGTTGTGGTCGTTTAGTATAGGTGTGCTTCTCTGTCCTCACATAGTAATGAATGGTGAAAGCCCCTCCAATGATGAAGTCTCCATCCTTGAAGAGAGCAGGGGGCTGAGGGTCACCTTGGAGGATGCATGTGCCTAAATTAACCCCACATTCAGAAGGGCAAAGCCTAATAATATACAGAAGTGTCACTGTCATTAAAAGATGAAAATTCATTTCTCCTTATAGGCAAGTGACCATTGCAATTGTGATGTGAGCATTAATCCTTGTTTTATACTCACCATCCACTGCTGTATGTTATAACTCTTTACTGTAAAACCTAAGAGGGTGTGGCTAATATTTTAAATTACAGTAGTCAATAAAAATATTTCTCCAGTGTATTATAAAGTGTATCAAAACACCATAATCATTACTTGCCCCCTTTAAGGCCCTCTGGTATGGGGCGCCGTTTGTAAAGCAGCTCACGCTGAAAATAACAGCAACATTTTGTCACATTTAGCTTTCCTGTGTTTAAAAAAACTGGTATGAATTTTTGACGGTCACTTTTTAGAACATTTACATCTATATTTGTCAACATAGAGATATTTTAAATAGTTAAATCTAAATGTTAAATGTTACATCTAAATGTTAAATATTAAATCTAAATGTAAAATCTAAATGTTAAATCTAGGCCTAAATGTTAAATATAAATGTTAAATAAAAATATAAATATAAATGTTAAATATAAATATAAATGTTTAATCTAAATGTTTCGGGTGAAACTAAATATAATATGCAAATTAAAAATGCTGGTAACCGGAATAAGTGCCAAAATAAAAGCTCGAGGAGATCAGTGTCGGTGTTTGTAGTGTCAAATAACAAATAAAAACCATCTCATCCGGGGAAATGCATTCTTGGACATGGATTAATAATAATAAAAGCTTTTCCAGAAACTGTATTTGAAGAGTAGTGTAACGGTGAGGCAAGGAGGAATCCAAATGCAAGCACTTTTAATAATAATAATAAAACAAACAGGGAATCCAGAGAAAACAAGAACAGGAACTTAGAAAAAAGCAAACATTAAAAAACGACCAACACCCAACAACTGAAGCACAGAGGTTTAACCCTTTCATGCATGAATTATGATAACCTCAGTCAGGATTTTTTTCCTTTGTGTTTTTATTGCCCTTAGGGCATGAAAAACAAGATTTGATTTGATTTTTTTTTTTTTTTTACAAATTTTTCAAAGATGTACTTGAGTGGACAGCATGCATTTATAGTTTAAACTGAAGAGATACTGTATTAAACATAATACAATAATCAAACAGATAAATTATGTGTATTTAACAAACTAATCAATACAATTACATCAAATCATGTGAAAACTATAAAATATATGAAAAAATATATATAAATCCGAAATATTGCAAAGGCAATTGACCTGCATACAAGTTGCACTTTGTGTATCTTGGATATCAGAACATGATGATGTGATTCCATCAGAAATGTCTACAGCCTGTCAATGTACAACTGTGGAAACACTCAGATGCTCCCTCCAGTGTGCCAGAGTATGTCAATTTACCCTTATTAGCTGATAATTCTGATTATGTTAGAGATGGACACATTTCTAGCATAGCCCCTCTTCTGAGAAAACCTAGTGATACATTTTTTTAAATCTCATCTGAAATGAGCAGTGTTGGGCCAGGCATAACGCATTCAGATTATTTGGTTGATGTTACAAGGAAAGTAATGTGTTAGAAGTAACATGCATTATAATCAGATTTGTTTTAATGTTTCGAGTAAAGTAATGTATTACAAGTAATATGCATTACCTACTCAGATTACTTTTTGATCTAACAATTAATTACAAGTAATGTGCATTACATAATCAGATTACATTTTGTTGTTACGAATAAAGAAACACATTACAAGTAACATGCATTACATAATCAGATTACTTTTTGATCTAACAAGTAATGCACTACAAGTAACATGCATTATTTAATCAGATTACTTTTTGATCTAACAATGCATTACAAGTAACATACATTACATAATCAGATTAATTTTGATCTAACAAGTAATGCATTACAAGTAACATGCATTGTGTAATAAGATTACTTTTTGATGTTACGAGTAAAGAAACATAGGTAAACAGATATATTTTGATCTAAAAAGTAATGCATTATGTAATTAGATTACTTTTTGATGAAATGAGTAAAGTAATACATTACAAGTCACAAATTATGTAATTACATAACTTTTTTAGACGTCAATGAAAATTACATTCTAATAATACAACTACATTTATTTACAGTCAAAAAAAGTTACTGCAGATTAAGTATTTTCAAAAACAATATTCACAGTATAAGTATAAATTGCAGCTAAAATATAGCCATTGATGCATGAGGTCCACTATATTCCGGAGGTGGATATTCCGGAGCACCTTGGCATGTCTGACTGGCCATTGGCCATCTTGGTTTTGAGGGGGGAAAAAAATCAAAACTCAATGGCTTATAACTTTGTTGCAATGCATAGGATGATGTACCAAGGTCCACTGAAGAGATTGATGTGCAACTTTCCCATCAAAACCCTTGCAAATTCAAGAAAATGCTTTTTAAATAGCTGTCCACTGTAGTGACCACTATGCATGAAAGGGTTAAATACACAGACAAACAAGGTAACAAGGGGGCGTGGCTAATCAGAAACACCTGGTGGAACTCATCAACAAGAAAAACTACAAAGGACTACAAAACATGGCACAGAACAGGAAATAGCTAAAGTCCACACAAGACAAGGAAAACACAAGACAGGAATCTGTCACGTATGAGAAAGAGGACCCAAAAGCAAAGGACAGTCAATGAGTGATTTAATGTTCAGAAGAGTAACACAGGAGCCGTTAGGCGAGTAAATCCAACACAGGAATCTCAATGGTAATGGAACAGAAAGTCTCTTAATAACAGAACAGAAAACTGCCGTCTGGATCAGCACGGACGGTCACTCAGAGGGCGAGACAGACTGGGTCCGTAGAGGCACGGGAACGCCAATCCTGAACCACTCACGATGCTGGAAGTGTAGCAGAGTAGAGTCGAGGTAATACAGAGAACAGAACAGCTTGAATCAGACAGGACACGACACGACAGGATCAGGAGCGATATGCACAGGTACGTAACATAGAGCAATAATCTGACAAAGAACAATAAGAGAGAAGCCATGAAATAGAGAGTCTAATCAGAGATAGTGAGAAACAGTTGGGAAGGTAACGAGGAGGTAATGAGAGGATGAGCCACAGCTGGAGGTGACCGGGATAATGAATGAGTGATGCAAGTAATGTAATGTAAGATAGTGACCAGAAGGGGGCAGAGAAGGACCAGAGAAAGAAAGAAAGAGCCAGGATCATGACAGGAATCGTGACAAGTAGGCTACTTTGAGGTTTTAGTGTCACTTTTATGAAAGGTGCAGGACTTATGACCTGTAGTCATAATCGCCAGCCACGAGGGGGCTCACTTTGACTGATCGGTCACGTTCGCTTGCAAAAAGGCCAGCAGAGCTGCTTTCTGATCGGCTAAAATGTCAAACGAATTATTATTTTAGGTAGTTATTATCGCGATAATCCATGTCCAAGAGTCCATTTCCCCAGATGAGACGTTTTTTATTCGTTATTTGACACTATAAACACTGACCACCTCGAGCTTTCCGGATACCAGCATTTTCAATTTGTATATTAGCTAAATATTTAGTTTCACTCGAAACATTTAGATTCAACATTTAGATTTAGATTTAACTTTTAGATTTAGATTCAACATTTAGATTTAACATTTAGATTTATCATTTATAGCCTAGATTTAACTTACATTTAGATTTAATATTTAGATTTAGATTTAACACTTAGATTTATATTTAAAATTTATATTTAACATTTAGGCTATATTTAACATTTAGATTTAACATATAGATTTAACATTTAGATTTAACATTTAGGTTTAACATTTAAAGGTGCATTGCGCAACATTTCATGTTAAAAATAGCCATTTTCTAACCCGTACATGCTTAAACAATCGCCTGATGAGCTGAATGAGCCCTTCTTTGATCACTGCGATCGCCTCTATAATCCTGTACAGTGAAATATATAAGAGGGATTCAGGCTCGAATCTGAGACTGGGCGTGACGTCATGCGCGTTCACGCTCGCCTGGCTATGTCTGGCAGGTTCGTGTAGCTACCCAGCTAAAAATGTTACGTTCCCAGGACATTCTCAGAACGACCCCACTGGTGTCAAGGACGTCACCTAGTAACGTTCTGGGAACGTTCGGAGACCGTCATGATGTGGAGTTCTTTAAAGGTTCGGAGGATGTTATTTTGCGACCTTTACGGAACATTTGGGACGTTCTCGGAACGTTTAGGGGACCATGTTTTATTTGGAAATGTAATGTTCCCAGAACGTTCTCAGAACGTCCCCACTGTCTCCATCCTCAGGAGGTGCCTGAAGTAGTTGTTCTTCCACTGCCTGAAAAAAAATCAAACTTTATTACCAATCACTTCAACGACTTTTAAACTTGGTGTCTAAAGAGATAAATCAAAGCAGTTATGTTATTCGAGAGAGAGAGAGAGAGAGAGAGAGGGAGGGAGAGAGAGAGAGAGAGAGAGAGAGAGAGGGAGAGAAAGAGAGAGATCTTTGAATAAAATAACTTACAGGTGTCGCGACCACCTTGGCACGGTGAGGTACATGTTTGAGTGTTTCCCCTATACATGGATCGATTTCCTTTTCCGTGTTTTTCGGAAATTGTTTAGCACAAGCACCTGGAGAAGAAAAAAAGGCACCAAAATTAATGTGAAGTCTCTAATGCAGGGCTTCAGTTTACAAGAACAATAATTCACTCCACCGAACAAAAATGGAAAAAAAAGCAGCACGTAAACACTTGATATGGGCCATTATTATGACGTTATTGTGATAGGCCTACATGATTACAATTTAAAATATGTAGATATATTCCATATTATATATTTATATATTCTCACATAACGCAGAGAAGTAGCCCCACCACGAGAGAATAATTGATTCTCGAGCCATCGATATCAACAGATTCTGCACCATCGCCACGGACAGCACCTACGTCGCACGTAAGAAGGTATACCGGGCCCGGTTCCCCTAAAAAGTTCTTATCTCCAAGTAGTTCTTTACCTATTCCTTAACCTCTCTCTTAACCTTATGGCACGGTTCCCGAAACGTTCGTACGCTAAGTATATCTTCTGTAAGTCACACTTTCGTAAGGTTGGTCTGGACCGTTCGTAAGCTCTCTCTTAGTGTTAGAACTCCACATCATGACCGTGTTGTTTGAGCTCAA